GGACTTAGAAAGTCTTCCTAACTGTCCAGTCCCACCCTACTCTATTCTCACTGTGAATGTTAGTAGACGACACTTCCATAGATTACTTGTAGTTTTTTAGTCTGATTGACCAGAGAAGTAACACAGAATTAAGGAAGTCATGAGCCCTTCCAGCCTTGGAGAGGAAGGTGCCAAGTTCAGTGTGGGGGCCTGTCACGTGAAGTCCCCTTCACCACAAAGTCTCTCTTTCTGTCCCTGCCCTCTGATTCTCTCTTCCCTCCCCTCTCAAAGGAGTACCCTAACTGGGCAGCAGAGTTTGGATTGTGATCTGTTGAGCAAGAGGCACCTGTCTGGGGTTTTAAAACAAGGGCACAGGGACTGACATGATGAAAACAGTTGCCTCTTCCTTTGAGATTGGAGAGAAAGATGAAGGTCCTGGGCTGTACTGATCTTTCTGATCCTGGTAGTGGTCATAGGAATGAAAAAGGACGTTGCAAACAGATGTAAGAAAGGGAGACTTGACAGCATTTGTTGGCTTAATTGACATGTCCAGGAATGGGCCCAAGGCAAGGCAAAGAGTGAAGGTCACTTGTAGCTTTTTCTTCTAATTGACCAGGAGTAACACAGAACTAAGGAAGTCAAGAGCACTTCCAGCTTTTGGGAGGAAGATACTGAGTTCAGTTTGGGGCCTGTCAAGTCAGGACGGAAATCCCCTGCAAGCAACTAGAAATATGGAGCTCCAAAGAGAGTGCAGTATTGAAGACAGAGATTTGGGCATCACTCAGGGACAACAGTTGGAGCTATGTAAATGATAAAGGCTCAAGGGGCAAGACACAGAAAGAGAACATAAGGCTGAACCTTGAGTATTAAAGAAAGTAGCTGTAGCTTTGGGTGTATAGGGACAGTGGAAGAAGATGAGGCTGGAATGGCACCAGGTCCGGGTTAGAATAGGCCTTCTCTTCCAGGGTAAGGAACTTGGACTTTACTTATAGATAGTTGGTAGTTACTGAAAGTTTTAAAACTTGGAAGTGATATGGTCAGATGTATGTTTCAGATAGGTGTACTTTATTGGTGCTTAATCACTTTCGAATAAAGAAATTCATAATCCAAAGAATTATTAGAGGAAGGCTGGAGGTAGGAAGACTAGTTGGAAGGTTGCTGCAGGAGCCCTGGTGTTTTAGGCCATTCTTGTGTTGCTATAAAGAAATACCCAAGAAAGGAGTGGTGGCTCAAGCCTGTAATCCCAGCACTTTGGGAGGCTGAGGTGGGAGGATTGCTTAAACTCGCAAGTTCAAGACCAGCCTGGTCAACATAGCAATTTTTCGTCTCTACTAAAAATTTTTTTAAAAATTAGCTGGGTGTAGTGGTGCACACCTGTAGTCCCAGCTACGTTTGAGGCTGAGGCAGGAAGACTGCTTGAACACAGGAGTTCAGGGCTGTAGTGAGCTGTGATCACACCACTGCACTCCAGCCAGGGAACAGAGTGAAACCCTGTCTCAAAAAAAAAAAACAAAAAAAAAAAAAAAAAAAAAAAAAAAAAAAAGGGATTGAAAAAAATCCCACAACTTGAGACTGGGTAATTTATAAAGAAAAGAGGTTTAATTGGCTCACAGTTCTGCAGGCTTTACAGGAAGCATGGTGCTGACATCTGCACATCTGCTCGGCTTCTCAGGAGACCTCAGGAAGCTTTTACTTATGGTGGAAGGCAAAGCAGGAGCAGGCACATCACATGGCAAAAGCAGGGGCAAGAGAGAGCTGAGAAGAGGGGGGTGTTGCCACACATTTTAAAACGAGAACTCACTACCATGAAGATAGCACGAAGCAGTGAGGGACCTGTCCCCATGATCAAAACACCTCCCACCAGGCCCCACATCCAGCACTGGGGTTTACAATCCAACATGAAATTTGGGCAGAGACAAGATCCAAACTGTTATCACCTGGTGAGAGGTAATGGTGTCCTAAACTACAGCAATCATAGTGGAATAGAGAGAAAGGGGACAATATTGAGGCGATTTAGAACATAGATGCATTGATTCAATAAGGGAGATGACGTGAGGAAGATTGAAGAATCTAGGATGGCTGCCATGTTTCTGGTTGGATGATGATAGTTTATCTACCACAGTAGAGAATAAATGAAGAGGAGCACTCTTGTGAGGAAGGTGACATGTTCTACTTTAAATATGTTGACTTTGAAATGGATATCCAGGTGGGCTGGACATATGGACACATGGGTGGTAGCTGAAGCCAAATGCATGGATAACAGTTTTGGAAAAATAATAAGTGCACAATAAATGTCTGTTAATGATTCCATAAATCATGACAGTCCCTTTGCTTCCTCTTCTCTGGTGCTCTTCATGTTTGTTTTGGAGTTCCACCAGAGCCTCCAAGCCAAGCTTGTCCAACCCACAGCCTGTGGGCTGCATGCAGCCCAGGACAGCTTTGAATGATGCCCAACACAAATTTGTAAACCTTCTTAAAACATTATGAGGCTTTTTATTGTGATTTTTTTTTTTTAAAAAAAGCTCATCAGCTACTGTTAGTGTTTTATGTGTGGCCCAAGACAAACTTTCTTCTTCCAGTGTGGCCCAGGAAAATCAAAAGATTGGACACCCCTGCCTAAGTTCTCTCTGTCTGTGAATGTCAAGACTGTGGCTCCCTTAAGGATCTCTTGGATGGATGTTCTATTCCTTGTAACTTCAAGTTCTTATACCAGCTTTGTAGACTGGCACTCAGACTGTCTCACCACAGCCCCTCATGCATATTGACTTAGGAAGAGAAGGCATTGGGAACGTGAAGAAGAAAAACTAGAACACTGTTTCTTTTTTCTTTTTGTTTTTGGAGACAGAATCTTCCTCTGTCCCCCAGGCTGGAGTGCAGTGGCGTGATCTCAGCTCACTGCAACCTCTGCCTCCCAGGTTCAAGTGATTCACATGCCTCAGCCTCCCAAGTAGCTGGATTTACAGGTGCCTGCCACCATGCCCAGCTAATTTTTGTATTTTTAGTAGAGACAGGGTTTTGCCATGTTGACCAGGCTGGTCTCGAACTCCTGACCTCAGGTGATCTGCTCACCTCGGCCTCCCAAAGTGCTGGGATTATAGGCGTGAGCCACTGTACCTGGCCTGTTTCTAGTACATTGCCTGGTTTCTATTTCTCTCTTCTCTGTGAGTAAAGTTCTCAAAAGTGTAACCTATACTTGCTAACAGTTTCTCACTTTCTAGTGGTAACTTGTAATCTGGTTCCCACCTTGCTCACTCTTTTGAAATTGCTCTCAAATGTCACTAGTGACTTTGTCACTGCCAAACCCAATGCCTCTTCTCTCTGTACCTGTTGGCACTGTTAGAACCTCCTTCTTAACAGTCTCTCCTTCCTTGGCTCCATGACATCTCACTTTCTTTGTCTCCTTCCTGCCTACCTGGTGGATTCTCTTTCACTCTTTGGGGGTCCTTCTTCCCATCCTCTAAACATAGGTATTCCTCTATGTGCCAGGCACTCGTCTCTCTGTGTAGTCTTTGTCGGCAACTACCCTGTTCTCACGGCTTCAAGTCATCCTGCCCTGGCAGCAACGACCCCCTTTCTCCCTCTGGTTCTGACCCCTCTCCACAGCTTCCAGCTCTTAACTCATCACTTCCGTTTCCCCCACCTCATGTCCTCACCAGGTGTGATCCCCCACTAGGCTCCCTATGCTCGTGAATGACCTCGCAGTTCTGATCACTTGCCTTGAGACTCTAATATGATGCCTGAAGTTTCCCTTGTTTGCTTATCATGTCAAGGTGGCTTCAAAGTTTTTTTCATTTTCTTTTGATTTTTCTGTACTCCAATTCATTTTGTGTGTTCCACTTTTCACCATTGCCATGCCGATTTGGGCTCTCATCTCTTCATGCTTATATTATTGGAGTTACTTTCTATCTAGTCTACTTGACTACTGTATCCCCTTGGTTCAAACTATTTGGTCACCTCCAGATTAATTTTCTAAAATTCTATAGCTTTCTCCTACCTTGTCCTTCTCAAGAACCTTCAATTGCTCTCCATTGCCTACAGAAACTCTGGCCTGACCACAAATCAGCACAACTCTGCGTTTCTTCCGGGTGTTCCCCTTAAAACGAACACTGCCCATGGTGCCCAACTTTTAGTCCAGTCCTTCCAACTTCTCCAATGAAGTTATTTAAAATGGACTTTTACTTATCTTATGGCTTTTAGAGGTTAAACTAAGCTACATTCCTAGTTTCTTTCCTTTTTTACCTGAATTTATAGCAACTCAATATGGTAACACTCATTATTGATTAGCAGTTAAATGTTTATGATGATCAAAAATGAGGAAATAATTATATTCTTTAATAAATGCTGGGTGTGTGTGTGGGGGGGTGAATAAAAACCTCACAAAACATAGATTCAGGTGATTAAAAAATTTTTTGGTGATGAAAGGGTTGAGAACCACCATCCTGCACTCTAATCTAGTAAATGAGACAGTTTGATGCTGTTTCCCAAGCAAACTCGTATTTTCACGTCTCCCCAGGACTCTGCCACATTGTTCCCTCTGCCTTAAAGGGAACCAAGTCCTGGGGACTCCCCACTATGTCTCAGCACCTGAATCTTCTACTTCCTTTGGGACCCTAATCAGTTGTTACCTCTTCCCTCCCACATCTGCTGGGAGCCCCCTGAGTAGAGTGACCTCTCCCTTCTGCAGCCTTCGGTCCCTCCCGCACTTCGCCGCGGGTTCGGGCCTTATCTTTCCTGGCGGAGAAATTCGCTACAGGTGGGCACGGTGTGCTGCGCGTCACGCACCCAGCACCGCACCGGGGACTTAGGAAACGGTGAACAACACGGGAACTGTGCCCAAGGAAAGGGCCCAAGGAAAGGAGCCCAGGACTACTCCGCCCCAATCTCACTCCCAGGCGCCGCCTTTGGTGCTGCCTGCCGGGCCACTGGGCCGGTCCTGAATTCATTTCCACTTCATTAACTCTGCCCCAGTCCCGCCCCCCGGCTCCAGCTCTCGTAACCCATCTCTGACACTACCGTCTCCCTTTTCTTCCTTCTCCCTTCCCCTGTCACCCTGCCAGCTCTGCGCCTATCGCTTCGCGTATCGTCTCTTCATCTCTCTTTCTCCCCGGGTCTGTCTGGGTCTCTGTCTCTGGGTATTTCTCTCTGCACCTCCATCTGTCTGGGTCTCCGCTTCCTTGCCCCGCACGCACCGCCCCCTGCCCAAGCCCCTCCAATCCCGGCGGCTCGAGCCTAGCGCTCCACTCTCCCATTGGTCCGTCCGGAGCCCCCCGCCCCCGCCTGCCCGGCCCCCCTCCGGGCCCCTCCATTCACACAAAGTTTGGCTCCGGCGCTGCGGAGGGAGGGGGCGGCCCGGCCCGGCCCAGCTCTGCCCCCGGCCGGCCCGACCCCGGCCCCGGCCCCCGGACAAGCCCTTATCTGATCCCAGCTCGGGGTTTAAGAGTCCTGACCCTGCCCGTCGCACAGCTCTGCTCCTTACTCCTGCCCGCCCAGTCCGTCCATCTGTCCCGCTGCCCCGCGGCCCCTCCACCTCGGACCCAAGGTAAGACCCTGGCCCTGATGAAGGAGTGCTGCCCCTCGCCCCCGGCCGGGTCCTGTCCCCGTAACTCTCCAGAGACATCGGGGCCCCAGCTCCCCAGTCCCTGTCCTGCCTGGCCCCAGAGGTACGGTCTTGTTCCCCTGCCTCCCTCCTTGGGCAGTCCCAAACGGAGCCTCCTGGGAAGGGGTCCCCGCGAGAAAACTACCCAGGCTGGTCACCTCAGCCCTCTCATCTAAGGAAGGGGCTTTCCCGATGCCCCCTCCCACTGGGGAGACCGGCAGTTGCATCCCCGCTCCTCTAGTTAATACAGTGACAACCACACATAACGAGGGATCCTATACACAGGCACACCAGACAGTGCCCCCTCCTCCCCATATGGACAGGTTACGCCCATGCCCAGCCCCTCCCCCACTCCCCATAGAGTGACAATCACGTAGTGACACCTGTGATTGCTAGTTCACACATGGGGAGAAAAACAGATATTGGCAGCTTAGACTGGGGAGACACAGAAGCCTGCTGTGATCCAGACCCCTGCCCACCCAATCTCTTCCTTCCATTCTGAGTGGCTCCCATTTCAAGACATCCCTCCTCATTGCTCCTCACCCTTACCCAGCTGTTTCACATTGAGATTTCCCGAAGGAAAGGAGCAGAGGCACTTCTAAAGTGAGAAGGGCAGATTGGGTTCTATAAACTCACCCTCCAGACAGAGACGTCCTTTCCCATTTCATCTCTCCTCACCAGGAACTTAACCCAGGGCACCTGTGTTAGGGAAGAGATGAAGGATGGAACTTCCTGATTTGGGAGAGGAGAGCTGAATCCAGGAATGGGTAGAAGGACAACAGGGGAAAAAGTGGAGGTGGGTTCTGGTGGCTTGAGGTTTAATTCCAGTGAGTGCCCCAGGCAAGGTGAGGCAGATGGGGAAGTGGAGATGGTGAGGAAGCTGGTGCAGATTTGGACCCTAAAGAGGCCAGCACTTAATGCCTGCTTCTGTTGCTTACTAATACAAATTCTGACTAAAGATGTCTGGCCAGTCTGCTCTTGCTGTGGTGTTTGAATTTCTTTTCTCCCCACTGGGACTGCTTTAGGCCATCTGGGTGGGAGGGAGATAATGATGGGATATTTGGGGCCCCCATGTGAAAGATGGTCTTGTTCAGGGGTGTGAGGAGGGCCCAGAGTGGTTGTCACGACATCAGCTCGGAGGGGTGGGCAGCTACCACTGAGTTCAATTTAGTTTCATACTGAAACTCTCCCTAATCTCCAAGGATTTTTGAACATATTCCTGGCATGATGGTGGGTACCATCCTGTGCCAAGTTGTAGGGCTTGTGAATTTCTCTAAGGGTAGACTGGGTATGGGGGACCAAGTTTGGAAGGAACCAGGCATCCTGACTCATAGCTGGTTCTTCAGGGAGGAAGAAACGAGGGAGGAGGGGGACGGAAGGCATCATGCCAGGGAGAGGGTCCAGGGCTGGATTGCAGAGGCAATAGGCATGGCCCCGGCAGTGCCAACTCCTTTCCCCGCTGCCTCCCCCCAGTCCTTTGGTGGTGGTGGCAAGGGAGGAAGGGAGGGAGAGGGTGTTGGAGGGTGATCTGGGCCAGTCCAGCCTCCCAAAGCCCTTGCCAACCTGGGTCCTGAAAGGAGCTGCTGTTTTCTGAGCCATCCCCCCACCCCCCACCCAGAGCCTGAGCAGCCAAGTTGTCTCAGCGGATATCAAATGGCAATGACTCCACTGACAGGGTGTGTGTGGGGGGTGGGAGTGGCAGGGGTAGCAGGGTTATGGTTCCAGTCCCTCTGTGGCTCTAATGCAGAACCCCTCTGCTACCTCTTACCCTGAGGGAAAAAAAAATGTCTCCCCAACATCTGACCCACATCCAGCCTATGGGTACATATGTTTGTGTGAAGGGATTAATGATCTGCCCACTGGTATCCCCCACCTCCTCCATGTGCCCCAAAGAACCACATTCTAGCTCCCTGCCACCTGCATCACTGTGCATAAACTCATTTACAGCTCCAACTTGGTTGGCTTGAGCTACAAGGAAGTGACTGGCAGAGGACTCAGGGAACTTCCTTCCCTTGTCCTTCCTAGGGACCAGAGAGGCTGGGACACTTGGGTCAGGGTGGGCTCAGATGAAGTCCTCTGGAGTCATTCTGTGATTGGTGGAATAAGGGGTTTAAAGCTCTAGGGGGTGGGTCATGCAGAAAGATCTATTTCCTCAAAGGATACTTCCGAGTCTCCTAGTAAACTGCTTGGTTTCTGCATACAAGATGGAAAGATAGGGCGAGCCTCCTGGCATTGGTGGGGAGGAAAAGGGACATTGGGCAATGGAGTCCCTAAACTTTCCTGCCACAGGTTATTTAGGACGGAAGAAAAAAATCTCCACTCTCCCTCCCCTCCTCGGCCTAGATTCTTCTCTTGCCTGACTGGTCAGTGCTACTGTCCAGGCTGAGGCCAAGCTGTCCAGGATAGCAGTGGGGCCCTGGAAGGGGGCAGAGAAGGAATCAGCAAAGGCACGTTGTTGAGATGAAACTACAGAAAGACTGGAGGAAAGGGAGATTTAAAATATAAGTGTTTTAGCACCCAATGCTGGGGGGTTGGCTGGGCAGCTCCTGGGAATAAGAGCTCTGCCATGCCACCTCAGTCACTCCGGCAGGCTGAGTTTGATGCTTTTCTTCCCTTGTCTGAGTTTAGTCTACATGTTGCCACCATCCTTCATGAAGAGAGTGCATCTGGTGGCCCCCTCTTCTGCCCCTCCCCCATCAGAACCTTGAAAGGGCAAAGAGAAAGGGATTGTGGGAAAAGCCCTCCCGTGGGTGGCCAGCTTGGAGCCTGGATTTGAGGTGGTGGGGGAAGGGAGGGGCTGGCTCTGGAATGTGAGAGAGTAGTAAGAGCAGAACTTTGCCGCCTGGAGAAGAAGTTGGAGAAGCAGGAGCTAGAGAGGACTGAATTAGACCTCAAGCCTCCAACAAGGTGCAGCACAGAAAGGGAATACACAGCCATTGTGCAACTTTTCCAAGTGGCAGGAGACCTGGGGAAAGGATTGTGGCTGCAGCTGGAAGGACTTAGGTTAGGTTTCAGGAAGTGCATCCCAGAAAAGGTAAGACATTTGAAATGGAGACTGGGAGGGAGAGAGAGACCACCTTCTGGACCAAGAAACCAAACCAAACCAAAACAAAAGCCACCAACCAATCCCAAAACAAAAAAGTCCAACCTTAACACTTCTGACAGGAGCAATGGAACTCAGAGTTCGGGGATTATTGTGACAACTGTCGGGGCCTCTCCTGGTGGCTGCTGTACCTCTCTCTTGCTGTTCCGGGCCTACTTTCTGCTCTGAGAGACAGGAGGCACTATGGTTAAGAGCACAGCCCTGGAGTCCGACTTTGCGGGTTGAAGCCTTGGTCTTCCACTTAGTAGCTCAAGAAGTCTCATCCTCTCAGTATAACTGCTCCGAACTGTTGTGAGGGTTCACAGTGACTATTATAAAGGGGTTGGAATGGTGCCTAGTCTGTAAAAAGTGGCGTTTCGGGTCATAATGTTTCTCCCACCACGCTACTGTTTTCGACTCTGTCATCTTTCCTGGTTCCTGGGCTTTGCCCTAACCCTTCATTGTTTTTTTTTTTTTTTTTTTTTAGATTCTGTCCTAGCTTTCTTTCTTCCCACCCTTCTGGAGTTTGGGAAGGTAGACGAATTATCAAGTAGTTTAAGATGAAGTTCCTCCCTTGATTCCAATAGGCTGGGCATCACTTGAGGTGGGGTCTCCATACCCACAGCCCCTGTTTTTGCCAAGCAGATGTCTTGTCTTCAGATTCAACAAATGAGAACTGAGCTGTTGCGCTTTCGCCAAATCGTCTCTTTCTCCATTTTCAGCAGCTTCTCTTTCGGCCAAAGACTTCTGTCAATCCCCACATCTTATCCAGCTTTCATGGCCCTGCCTATCATTCTTCTCTTCTTCATCCCCCTCTCCCTCTCCTGGCCCAGGTCTGCCCCCACAGCTTCCCTCAGGTTTATATGCCCTCCTCTTCTTGTGTCTCCTGGTGGGCCTGCTTATCCCATCAGCCTAGATGCCTGCAGCAGTCTCCTTAATGACCTCTCTGACCCCAGCCCCTCTCTTCTCGATTCCTTACCTTTATCCTGTAATGAAATTATCACTGGAACGGTCATCACGAGCATCAGTTTTATCTTGCCCTTTCCCTACCCAGACACATCTGTTGCCATTGGATAAAAATTTCCCAATCACCATCTTCAAGAGACTTTATGCCTTTCCCCCATCTCCTCCAGCCCTATATTTTGCAGAACTACTTAGACCCTATTCCTGGGAAGCATATCCCAGGCAGTCTCTGAGCCATGCTCCTCCCCACACTCTGGGCCCTCACAAAGGCCATTCCAAGTCTCACCCCACCTACAGACCTCCATTGTCCTGTTTCCCTTTCTGCTCTGCCATCTTGCTTGTCACTTGCATCTGTGACTTGGCCCAGGGTTTTCCATGCATGGTGATGTTGGAGTAGACACCTTGTCTGCCTCATTAGCTGGGGGTCCCCCCTAGGACAGGGCCTGTATCTCTGTCAGATTGGCAAAGACATCTCTTCTCTCTCTGGACCCTCTGGCACCCAGGAAAGGGCCTGGCTCCTAAGACACAGAGTGCCTACTGTCCAGTTTGACTCTAGGTAGGAAACAGTCCTGATTGCTTATTCTTGGGGAGGAGCCTGACTTTGGAGGTTTATGTGAGGATCCTGCAGCAGGGTGTGTATAGGATCCTATTATCTAATTCTATAGGAGACCTCAAGAGAAACCCCTCTCCTACCAATGGCCCTATCCTGTAGGGATGGCTTTACCCTAAGATTACAAGCAGTAGGCCCTAGAATCCCCAATTTATAGTCTTCTAAGCATTGTTGCTCCGCCCACCCCTACATGCAAATGCAGGTATCTAGGCTCCAGAGAGCCTTTCTCCCCTCTCCAGGGTGGTCTGACTCCAGCCTGATGCTGGGCTTGTTAGCAGTATCGTCTGGAGTGGAAAAAGTGGAGAAAGGTGAGTCTAGTCTGAGGCAGCCCCACTGTCCTGAGCACACCTCTGAGCAGGGGCTTGCAAGGTGGGAGACATGTGGGGACATCTCCCAAGTCGGGTACAGGTCTGACCTCCTAGTGTTGCATTCTCCCTGGACCGGCCTCCTCAGCTCCACCTCTGATCCCAGTTCCAACTGTTAGAGCCAGGCACACTCCCTGTCCACGTGTCTAAACCTCCCAGTTGACCCTGTGATAAAAAAGATATGGGCAAATGGTAAGAGGGGAGGGTGAGTGTGTTAGCATCTAGAGCACTGGTTCTTAAACTTTTTGACCCCAGGACCGCTTTACATTCTAAAAAATTACTGAAGATTCCAAAGAGCTTGGGTTTGTGTGGGTTCTATCTATGAATATTTGCCGTGTTAGAAATGAACACTGGGACAAGTGAAATATTATTAATTATTGCATGTTAACAAAATGACATATTTTTAATGAAAAGCAGCTGTATTTTCCAAAGGAAAGAAACAAAAAGTTAATAAGAAGAGTGACATTGTCTCATATTTTCAGAAATCTTTTAAAACGTGTGGCTTAATAAAAGACAGTTGGTTTCTCATCTGCTTCTGCATTTAGTATGTTGTAATATCTTATGTCATGTAGCTTCTGGAAAACTCTACTGAACACTGTGAAATATTGAAAGTGAAAAGGGCAAATAATGTACTGTTAGCATTTTTTAAAAATTTAATTATTATTATTATTATTTTTTGTTAGCATTTTTATGAGGATAGGTTTGACTTTGTAGAGCCTCTCAGGAACCCCCAATGGTCCCTGGACTGCACTTTGAGAACTGCTAGTCTGGAGGAACCTCAGATGACAGTTTCAAAAACCTGGGCCAATTTGAATATCCTGGCCGATTTCCTTCAGCCGCCATGGTCTTTTGAATGTTCTCACTAGGAAGGTAGTATGGGGTGCTGGTTCATCATGTAAGTTCTGCCTCCATTCTACAACTCACTAACTATGTGGCCTTGGCCAAATTATTAATATCCCTGTGCTTCAGTTTTCTCATCTATAAAATGGGTCTTTAAAAAGCAACCACTTTTAGAGTTGTTGAAAATTAAATGACATAACAGGAAAGGGCTCAGCGTAGTGCTCAATGCTGTGATCTCTCGTTAGAATCCAGACCAGTGCCCCTGAACTCACCGTGCGTGGTCCCGAAGGCAGGGAGCTGCAGGTGATCCATCCAATGCTACACACAGGGGCTCAGCCCAGAGAGGGAAGGGACTTGTGCAAGTTCCCAGAGAAGGTCAGCAGCATTGTTGGGCCCTGAACCCAGGAGTTCTAAGGCCTAGCTCTGTCTCTGCTCTCCCCACCAGACTTCTTTTGTGGAGAGTGGAGGAGTAAGGTCCTGAGACCAGGAAGGAAGCAGATCTTACCTTTCTTTTCCCCAGCAATCTCAGGTGAGCCCAGGGCCAGAGCACTACAGTGGGAAGCCTTGAGGGCAGATTGCAGGGAGAACTTCCTGACATCAACAGCTGCTGGAAAGAGGGGAAAGAAAGCTGGGAAGACATTCTCAAGCCCAGAGATTTTTCTGTCTTGCCTTATGGGGAGCAGTTCTGCAAAGTGTCCCCGGCCTTCTCTCCTGGGGCTCCTGGGAAGTCTGTGATTGGGCGACCCTGCTTCTCATGAGCTGCTCAGTCCTGCTGGCTGCCCTCCTCCCAGCTCTCCCACTACCCCAGACCCGGGAGCCTCTCCCTAGATCACGCCTTCACGCCCTGTGCTTTGTGCTGTTCCAAGGCAACATGGTGCCTTGGAAAAGGCAGCTGGAGGTGCTGAGGGCGTTAATGAGGATAGGGGTGCCTGCTGGGGTTCCCTGGGTAGGAGAAGGGAAGCCTCTTCCCACAGACTGGGGAATGGGAGGAAGCAGATGGGGAGATAGACACATACTGGGAAGACCTAGTCCTGGCCCATTGGCCCTTCAGCTAAATTCCCCTGAGCTGGGCTTCCAGCTCCACCTCCACTAGTTCAGATTGAATTTCCGAAAGAGCACAGATGGGAGGGGACTTTGTCCCGAATCACTACCCCTGCTTCCCCTGTAGTAGCTTCTTCAGCCTCCAGAATCACAACAGGTGGAGATTGCAAGGAACCCCCCAAGGAAGCAGAAGTCCCAAAACCCCAAACCCTGAGCACATAACACATGCCCTTTCTGCTGGGGTTGGAGGGCTCGCTGTGTATTACTCCGTTTTTCTTCTTCTGCCTACACAATTCCTTTGCATAGATGGTCAAACTGAGGCAAAATGTGGAAGGACTCAGACTGCCCACCCACGTCTTTCTAGAGCCTAGCCTGGGACCAAGGGGCCTGGCCTCCCACAGCCCCTCCCCTTCCACTCCTACCAGTCCTTGCGGCTTTTTCCATTTGGAAAGTCCTTTCTGGCGAGTGGCAGGTTTGGGGGCCCTAGTCTAGTCTCCTCCCCTGTCTCCCGGGCAGTGGCCCCAGGGAAGCCCCTGTGGGCCAAGATCTCCTCAGTCTCAGTCCTGGCCCCTCCACCCTCTACCAGCAGCCCCCCAGCTCCCGCTCCTGGGCTGTGGGACAGGGAGAGGGCTGAGGGGCTGGCTCTGCATACTAATGTCCTGCCCATTGTCAAAGCCCCTTTGTGCCAGGGAGCTCCATTGAGGCGGCTCCGGGGCGGGCACAATGGGGGCTCTGTCCCCTAGTTCCCCCAAACAGTCACCTGCTTTCAGAGCCTTCCCCCAGCTCCCCCTTCGCTCCAGTGTCCGGAGGGCCCAGAGAGCACGGGGGAGTGGGCCCTGGGCCAGGGGGGATGGGCAGGAGGTGACCCCCCCACTCTCTGGGCAGGCTGAGGAGATGGGCATTTGTCAGGGCAGGCTGCAGAGGGCACACAGAGTGGAGAGGCCCTAGGCTCACAGGGGTGAGGGCAGTCTGTGGAGGAGTTGGAATGCAGGTTCTATGCTGCGTGAGAAGGGGAAGGGGCACTCAGAGCCTGCCCACTTCTCCGTTCCATATGCTCAGCCTGGGTCTGTGGCTGCCGCCTCTCCTCCTCCCACCGCAGGACTCCCTGGGGCTCATATATGCAGAGACACATAGGCACACACTCATCTATGCGGCCACACACACGGCTCCCAACCCACATCCAAGCGGATGTGCCCAGACACAGCACACCGACCCCAGCACACAGACTGCACCCTGGCATATGCACCTGCACACCCACCCTCCGCCCACCCCACCCCTTTCCCTTTTGCACCCTGTCCACGGCCGCAGGCATCTCAGCACCGTGTCCCTCCCCCCCTGCCCTTGCCGCCCTCTGCTGCTCTGACACAGGTTATAACAAGTTTGCACTTGTTGTGACCTTAAGAATGTGGCCCTGGGGCTGAGAATGTCCCGCTGCCCCAGACTGCACCTGCTTATACGTTAACCATGGACACAGCCTCCACTGCACTCTGAGCGCGGCGCCCATTCCCACCCCAACCACGGAGAGAGTTAGGTGGGCCAGGCCGCCCACCCCAGAGCTGAATTGAGTACCCTGGACTGAGCTACATATGAATAACGAGAGCTCCACCTGGCCTCGCTGGCACAGGTCTGGTGTCACCATCTTTGCCTTTGCCCAGGGCACACAGGTATTTCCTAGCCCTTCCAGACCCTGGGAGATAGATGGAAGAGTTATCATTTTCCCAGCAAGGCTCTGAGAGGTGAGATGATGTGTCCAGGCAGCTGGTGGCCAGGCTGGGACTAGAATGGAGGTCTCTTGCTTCTAGGTTTTTGTTTTTGTATTTTCTACCCCCCAGCAATGTGTCTTGGCTTCACTCAGATGACCCCACCCCCCAACCTATCTACAAATCTAACAGAGCTGTCTTTTACCCACCTTTTTTGGGAAGGAGTGGGGGCATGGTGAGGGGAAGGGGTGGGGAGAAGAATGGGTCTAGGGACCTTAACGGGGCTTCTGGGTCTAGAAAGAACCTCTGAGGGTCACCTTGACCCTTGCACTACCCCCAGGCAGAGTGAGCCTACCTCCTTTCACTTCCCACCCTCCTACAGGCCCCACTACTGCTATGAACTCTGGATCTCTGGAAAGTAACGCCACAGCCTTCTTAGCTAGGGTTTAGAGTTGGGGATCTCTATCAATTACAGGTCTTTTATGATGCCTAGCACTGGACTTCCCAGTTATTATCCTATGTCTGCATGAGGAGCTGTAGGCTGTATCTATGGTTCACCTGCCATTCTGGTCCAGAGCATCTTCTAGCAGTCAGGAGCAGATGCCCTAAAAAGGGAAGAGAGGAAGGCCCACCGGGGTTCCGGAGACTTGAGGGCTGACTGCGCAGTGGTGTGCTGGGGCCTGGGAGGGTGGATGGGGTCATGGCTGGAGAAACTCGGTTAGATAGAGAACTAAGCTGATATGGGTTTGCTCATCAGCAAATGTTATTGAGTGCTGATCGCCATGATCAAAATTTCATGTGAGAACCTCAGGGACCTCCTACTCCTTCTCCCTGCCCCTTAACTAGAGTGCTTCCCCTCTGGTTACTGGATTCTCCTTAAGCCACCTCATCCATCTATCTTCCTTTGGGCAGGAACACACCTTCCCCAGCCCTTATACTCCGGTGTGATTCTTTTGCCTCCAAATGTCCCCTGCTGGAGAAAAAACTGTCCAAAGTACAACTTCAACTTTCCCTGCTGTGCTTGGGCAGTTAGTTACACAGGAGATGGAGGACGGTGAGACGTCCACCTCTGAATCTAGTTCTGTGTCTAGGCAGTGTCCTCATGCCATCCCTAACCCATCCTCCTTTTTTTTTTTTTTTTTGAGATGGAGTTTTGCTCTTGTTGCCCAGGCTGGAGTGCAGTGGAGCAACCTCAGCTCATTGAAACCTCCACCTCCTGGGTTCGAGTGATTCTCTGGCCTCAGCCTCCCGAGTAGCTGGGATTACAGGCATGTGCCACCATGCTTGGCTAATTTTTTTGTATTTTTAGTAGAGATGGGGTTTCTCCATGTTGGTCATGCTGGTCTCAAACCCGACCTCTGGTGATCCACCCACCTTGGCCTCCCAAGTGCTGGGATTACACGTGTGGGCCACCACACCCGGTCCCCATCCTCCTTCTTAAGGGAGGAATGTGGATAGGGAATAAGTAAAAAGTTGAAAGGGGGCAGAGAGATTGCCTCCCAGAGTGATGGTGAGCTCCCTAGACTTCTCTGAGTGAAGGTTAGAGGCTGCTCTCCATGCAGGGAACAGGAGCCCCAAGAAGGGAAGGGAGCTGAGAGGATACCTGTCAGGGAGAGAGGCTCAATTTTCTGAATATTAATGACAGGTATAGAGTACCTCTGGTTCTCCAGCTCCATCAAGGTTACAAATAAGAAGAAATTGCTCAGATAGCAACAGGTAAACTTTGACTTCACTAGAAGAATCCCCTGGGCATAAGGTATTATGAGGCAAAGGGGAGGGGCAGAAAGAGGTGGAGAACTCATTGCCCTAATGAGAAGGAAAAGTCCCCCTTTCACCTACTGAGCAGAGCTTGAGTGGCCTGGAAGATAGTTCCAATGACTCTTAGCGCCCCTATGGGGTTTTTAGTGGTCTCAGAGGAATCCCTTGATCATTTCCGCAGACCCCAGTAAGAGCATCGCTGAATGTCTCCTCCTTGTGAACCTCACTATTGCTGCTTATTGCAACTCTTGTTGGGCCAGCTGCTGCCGGGGTGAGGGAGACCCTGAGACCTACTAGGTGGGAGGGAGGGCCAGGTTGAAGAGAGTGGGCTGTGGCCGGGGCTGGCTGGGGAAGAGCTTCTGTGGATAATGCTCCAAGGTTAGCTCCACAGAAACTGGCACTTTGGGACCCCAGGGTCAGGAAAAGAATCTTCTAGGAAGAGAAAAGTTGAGATGAAGAAGAAGACCAGGGTTATTGCTCTGATTCTGATGTAAAATAACATGAGCTACCAGCCAGCAGCATGATCCTGGGAAAGTTACCCATCTTTCCTAGGTCTGGGCTTCCTCTTTAGTGGAATATGGGGATTAAATGTGATGACCATGGTGGGCTTCCCCGCATGAATACTCTGTGGCACAGTCCAGTATCAAGTTGAGAAGCCCAGACCTCAAGCAGGTTTAAGCAGGCCTGGGTTTGACTTGAGTGCACCCCTTAGCCGTCCTTCTGGGCAAGTTAGCGAACCCCTCTGAGTCTAGTTTCCACCCATTCATCTGAGGGCAATGCTGCTGCCCTCCCAGGGAGACGAGGATGAAGCGTGGCATGGAGCACCCAGCACAATGCCTGGCACACCTTAAAGGCTAAGGTAGGAAGTTCATGGTACCGTGGGAACACAGGGGGACGACAGCCCACATTGCGGGTGGGGGCATCCAGAAAGGTTTTCCAGAGAAAGTGATATCTAAGCTGAGGCCTGAAGGAGGAGTACAAATTAAACAAAGTAGGAGAGGAAGAGTGTTCCATGGAAGAGGCCCCATTATTTGCTAAGAAAAGTTTGGTCTGTTGAAGGACTGAGAGGTTTCGTGTGGCTGGGGACAAGGTGTGTGCATGAAGTGGGTGGGTACAGATAGAGAATGCTGACGCTAGGGTGCTCAGCAGAGACCAGGTCATGAAGGACTCCGTTCCACCTGTCATTCTAGGGGCTTCAGAGATAGGGTCCCTCTACTTCCTCTCCTCTTTTTCCTACTTTTCCTTCATCCTTTCTCCCAAGACTCATTCCTCTTGTCCTTGGTTACATGAACATGAGAAAGCATTGGGCTCCCCCAGGAGGGCCTGGCCAGTGCAGGGAGAAGCTTTAAGTTCAGAGTTGTCTGTCTCTGGTCAAGTTTTGGCTTAGGCCTGAAGTTTTCTGCCTCTCTGCTTTCCCACCATAAGAGAGGGATGTGCCTTCCACAGAAAACTCTGAATTTCTTTCATTGAGGCACTCCTACTAACCACTCCCACTGTGGGACTCAGTTTCCCCATCAAGCTCCTCTCAATGTGGAGGGGGGAGAATGTTGACGGGGTGGGGCTGAGCACAGCCTGCAGAGAAGAGCTAGGGAAACTAGAGAGGACTGCCTCAGTCAGTGCCCCCAAGTGTCCAAACATTGAAACTTCAATGGGAAGTTCCGAGGAAGGACTTGAACTGAAGGATGAGCAGGTGGCACACGGAAAGGGGGCCTGAGGGAGGAGAGTGATGTAGAATAGCAATCCTACAGGCTCTTTTAAATCAATAAATACCAGGCACTGAGAAAGACACAAAGATGAACAAAATATAAATTAAGAAGCAGCCTGGAAAAGTTTTTCGGTTTGGGAAGCTGGGGATGGTCCTTCCTGGAAGGAGCAGAGCTGATGAAATAACCCTTAGAGGAGCGGGCCTTGGGGATGTTCTCACAATGGGGAGTGGCTCTTCTGCCTCCCCCCCCCCCCGTCACTACCTTTTGGGCCCTCCACCAACTAGGCCCAAGCCTTCCCTCATTTCTAGCCAATACCACTTCAAGTTCAAAGACAGGAAAGTGTATGGAGAAGGGCCCTTCGGCTGGAGTCTGGTCAGCCTCCCTCTCTTCTCTGAGGTGGAGAATCCTGTCTTGGCCCTGGGATCCCAAGGAATGGGTCCCATCCTCCTCTCCCTAGTTTCTCAA